CAATTGAAGCAAAAGATTAGCACTTCGCGCAAATGACGCTTATTTGGCTGAAATTTCGACATTTCCGATACACTGAAAAACAATGTTATCGATGCAAACGTATACTTCTATGTACTGAATGTTATTAACAGATCTCAAAACAGACTATTAAGCTTCGTTTAGACATTACAGGTTAACAACAGTTCTAGCTATAGCTACTTGTCGCTAAACGGACGGAACTTTCCGATTTACCTGATAGTTTCCACGAACTCTTCGTGAAAGTCATTATGCAAGCCTTTTTTTATCCTCAATACATCCCATATGATATGCTTCAGCATACTTTAGCAAGATTCTCGACTATGTTTTCCTTCGTTATTAACATTTTTTGTCGGAAAAAGCACTTTTTTAAATAAAACATCCAAACAAACCATTGTTTCTTTCAAAACTTCATGTTTTCGTATTTTATATTTTTAACTCATATTGTCATATTGAGTTGGCCGTTTTAAATTTTCAAAATTTGAAAATTTTGTGCACAGATTTGGATACAGCGACTCGATAAACCTACAGATCAGATATGGTGCGATATTTCTAGCGTAAGGAATAATAAATACCTAAAAGAGATAAGAGATCCTTCCCTCTCCCCTGAATAAAAATAAATATAACGGGATAAGAAATACGAACTTCGATAATTTAAGATTTTCGCGATAAGGGTGCATATTTTCGTACAAAATACAGTTTGCAAATATTATACATTAATTTCCGTGCCCTCTCGTGCTTTAAATTCTCTCAGCACTTCCCGCCAAGTATCTGGATATACGGCAATTATCCCGAAGGAGAGAGAGCGAGAGAAAAGGATCGTTCGGAGAGTGTCGCGAAAAAATAACGTCCGATGTCCCGGCGATAATTATCGTTCCCGGGAGAGACGGACGATTCGCCGAAGGTTGCCGGGCGATCGCCCGTGACTCGCGCGAGACGCGGACGAGGATCGAGAGATCGATCGGTCCGGACGGTTCCGTCCGGCGGAAACGCGCTGGCGAGCGCTGGCGCGCGACCCGGTCGTTTCAATTCGGCAAGTCGCAACAAGTGCACCGCGCGCGAGGCCGCTATTTAATCTATCTCGGGCGCGTTGCCGGCATATATAAAATATCGCTTTGTAACCGCCGAGGGCTCGCGGCTTGCGAGAGCGCGACCAGGAGGGCGTTAATGATCGTGACCAATTTGTTTTCTGCCGTGAAACGCTTTCCCGCGGCGACTACGCCGCGGAATTTTTGTTTCCGCCTCCGCCGCTGCGCTGCGCTCGGCGCGCGTATCGCCGCGCTGCGCGTGTGTATGCGTGTGCAGCGACGCGGCGATTCGTGCACGGGGCAGCGTCGTATGCACATGCAACTGGCGGGCCGAACCGCCATGTTGTGCGCCGCGCTGAAAGCACTAGCTCGAAACGGTTGCCGAATTTTGCGCGGCTCACAAGCGGCGATCGTTTGTTTCACTTGTCGCATGAGGCAGTTGCAATCTGCAATCTCGTACCCTCATTTTTGCGGATCTTACCTTGGCAGCGCACCTGTGGGCTTTCTCAAGCGAGGACATGCTCGTTAACGGACTTCTCCTGTACACTAGGAAAAATGTATCGTTGCGTGAACCAAAATTTTGTTGTAACAACAAAATAATTTGGTCAAAGTATGCCCGACAAAACTGCTCCTGTAAACAAATATCTTGTTCGATTACGGTTTGTTCGTATAATGTGGTACTTTTGTTACAGCAAGCAAAAAGCTTTAACTATATGAATTTTGTTAAAAATACTACAATTTTTTCTTAATATATAAAATCTAAATTTCAGTGCACAGAAAGACTAAATAGTATCCATTGGGCATTATTTCAGTTTATGTAAAATAATATTTCGTTATTATGTAATTTTTGTGGATAAAATAACTGAAATGCTTAATTTTTATATATAAAGTCTAAGAACAAAATCATTTGGTCCAGAGAACAAAGCAGAAAAATAGATTTAGTTGGGACAACTAAATATTTTGTTGTATAAAACAAGATATTTGATTGGTATTAAAAAATGCCTCAACTAAACAGTTTTGTTAGAGATACTAAACTTTTTTCGGGCGGATCTTCGACGTCGCGACAGTCGATCGATTCTCGATCCCGGCGGTTTGTACATAAACATGCGTGTCATCTGATCTGATCTTTGAATATTTGCTACGCTCTACATGATGCGCAAAGTACATCACAGACGCTGCGCATCAAAGCCGCACGATGATTATCCATGACGCATTTTGAAAATGTCGAGAGATAAACGCGCTGCGGGCGGCAAATATTATTGCAAAAAATATTAACCCAAAAACGACGAGCGAAAAATGTGAGTTCTACGTCGATACGCGTGACGGGCCCGACCAGACATCGCTGCGTTTCTCGTAGCGATGGACAAATTATTCTACGCAACAATGTTGGAGCGATGAGGCTGTTGCGTCCTCCGATTGTGTATTCGCGTATCATCGCGATGCCCGAGTCGCCGCGGTCTCTCTCACCCGGCCGAGAGACGCGAGGCCGACGACGGGGAAGAAAGAATTTCGACGGAAGCCGGACGTCTTCTTCTTGTGATCTACGGGCGACGGCCGACACGTGGACAGAAGCTGGCACGAATTCCGTATGCACCTCACCGGGACCTCGAGCGACACACCTAAGCGTCGTTCAGATTCTAATCTCGAGGCCATTCGAGGAGCACTCGTCTTATTCAGACACCGTGGACGAACATCCTTCCCGGGGCTCTCTCTCTCTCTCTCTCTCTTTCTCTCTCTCTCTCTCTCTCTCTCTCTCTCTCTCTCTCTCTCTCTCTCTCTCGGTCTGCGCCTACATCTATACCTACGTACTGGGTGGGCCGGTTGACAGTTTTATTACGACGCAGTAGCTTACTTCCCAGTAAATCATCATTTTTTCGCGCTCGCCGCGGCATGTCGCGGCGCGCGTTTCGCAGCGCGTTTTTGTCTCATCGACGCCTCTGTCGAATTTAAAAGAAAGAAAAAAAACGACTGCGCGCGATTTATGACAGCAATCTGCGCTGTGAATTGTGACGCCGCTCGAGATTACCCCGAGGCGTTCGATACAAGAAGTTTGCTGTGCAATTGTGATCCTTGTCAGGCGCGGAAAGGCTTTTCATAAATCCCGTAAAAGGGAAATGGAGAGAGATGAGAGAGCAGAGACATGTGTGTCCGTTGACACTGCGACCACTTGCGGACATCAGACGGATCATCACGCGGACGACGCTTGAATATCTTCGGAACGTGTGCGAATGTGTTATTAAAATTTCTAATGAGGCCAGAGCAGAAAGTACGCGCGAAATATTTTCGTCGTCACGGACGACGACGAAGTGTGTCGCCGACGAAAGCGTCATCTCTCGAGCGGCCGATTCAATTATCCTACGCCCGGCAATAACCGCCGTACGACAAGTTTTCAATATCGAGCAAGAGTGAGCGAACCTCGCGCTGGCTTCCGTTACGTTTGATTTGTTACTCGTCGGCTTCGGGGCCGGAAGCGTTAATTTCCAGACTGGAAGCGTTGATGTCATAATTTTTCAGCGAACTCTCTCTCTCTCTCTCTCTCTCTCTCTCCCTCGAGCAGGGCAGTTTGCACTTCCTGAACGCGTCCAGGGCGGCTACCATCCATCCGTTCGACCTCCAGCGATCCTTTTTGCGCCGGTAATAGGTGCGAAATTATATCCTTTCAAACGGCGAGGCTGCCCCTCGGCCCACCCCGTATAATTTTCTGAGGACGAATCATCGTCGCTTCGCATTCCACTTTTTCTTTCTCTCTTTCTCCCATTCTGCTCCTCCCCATCCTCTTTCTCTGTTTCTTTCTCTCGACGATGCGACGACTCTGATGCGACTGCATCGCGCGAGATGCATCCGCGTCCCGCGAGATAAAGGGAAACGTGTTCCCGCTATCTTAACGAATCCTTTCCGTAGCGCTAAATTACGGTAAACGTCGCACGCGCCGACGGCACCACCGGCGACCCTTCGACCCGCCGGCGATGACTGCCGGGCTTGAACAATAAATTTGCATACGGGCAATATCGCTCGCCGCGGCGTCTTATTGCGAGATGCCGCCGAAATATAAAGCGCGCCGGCGCGCGAGCGCAAATAAACTCGCGGCCGATAGCATAACGCGGATTATGCGCGTAATAATCGTGAATCTTCGTATTATTGATTCCTCGGTATGCCATAACGAAATTTTGATGCCTGACCCTCGGCGATTTGTGTTAACCCTCCCGGTAGTTACTTGTACGCCGTCTGTCAACACTCGAGATACGCCGGCCCGGTGGAAAGATTCCTTACACCGCGCTTATTACGGTAATCACGGTGGATTAAATAACGGCGGTGATGACACGAATAAGTGTCAAGGCTCGACATCGAAGCTCTCCTTAACGGCTGAAAGAAGTTAAATGGGTGATGATCGCGGTGGACGTGTCGCATGCTTGTTATGTTTTTCCTGCGAAACGCGTAACGAGTTAAGGAAAAAAGAGGAAAGGAAGATTCCGTTTTGCAAGCGATTATCGAACAATAAGGGATCCTTGCTTCGCGTGAATCTAATCGTTCTCGCAGCGGTCATTGATACACATGCATGTCGCGAATGTAGCGTTTCGCGAGCGAAATGACGTAACTCTCTCTCTCTCCCTCTCTCTCTCTCTCTTCGTGTGTAAAAACCATCGGAAACTAATGGCCGCGACGATTGCTTGACTTATCGCGAGTAAAGCAATCGCGAATTCCGCATGTGGTAGCGTGACTCTGATGCGCAATTCTGGTGCACATTTCTGGTAGCACAAATCCAGTGGCACGATTCTCATGTACAATTCTGGTATGCATTCCAGTGAGTGATTTTTCCGACGTATTCCATTTTGAATAAAAATATCTCTAATTCAATCTAATAGATTAAAGGATCGGGTAAGATATCGGAGACCGGATTTCTTTCCGGAAAGGAGTATTCAGTAGTTGAAGTACAAGATAAAGGAGGCGATTGTTCGATGAGGTAAACATTGGATTATTTCAAGTAGCATAATTCGACAGACAACACAAGTACATGCGTGTAAAACTTTGTCGACCGAGAGAAAAGTGTTTGATATTTTTCTAATATAATTACACAAGCGAAATAATAGTCGCGAAATTTGTTTCTTTCTTTTTCTTTCTAGTAAATACATTACTGTATTACCTTTTCGTTAGAGCAACAGAAAATACAGCCGGCGCTATCATATAAAAAATTTACAAGTTATGTAAATCGCATCGCTTTATTATAACGCGCAAGAATCTAATAGATCCGTCGACTAAAATCTTTGTTCTTCATCAACAACGCTCTGTTACAAGCCTGGGACGAAAGTTGCAACATCATCGATTAGATGTGAGAGCTAAACAAGAGAAGCGGACACGAGAGTGTTAGTTTTTATTTTGACATCTATGTCCCAGTTTCCGATCCCGAAAGGGCTCAGTGGAGGAGTACGGCAAGTTTATGAACCTGCCGTCGAGAGACGATCCTGCTCGGCCCGAACCGGCTCCCCCCGGTACGGCATCTGCATCCACCGAAACTGCACCTCCCGGGTGGCTGCGATCTCCGCCAGATCTGAAACAAAAAACAAGTTATCTGACTAATCATATCGATAGACACGAACGGATGAAGCTCAAGTTATCAGCGGCTCAGGATAATGCGTTTTTTCTTTCTTTTTTCTTTTTTAATCGGTCAGAACAAAAGGGGCGCGGTAGTTCACTCTCTCACGACTCGAGGACTCGCTGCCACTGATGAAGCTGATTTAAATACGATAATTACGCGCGCGCGAAATAAAACAACGTGTCTCACGCATGTTTCAATTAATTCGGGAAAAATCGAGCGTCACGTGCGACATCTCCCGATCCCGTTAATTGACGTGCCAATGACTGATATGATTGCTCGGTAATTGCCGAGACTCTACGTGAGACTCTTGAAATACGCCCTAGAGCATCGTCACCTCGCTTGTTTGTTAATTTAACGTCTTTTATATGAAAATACATTAATATTGTAATGACATTCCGCGATGTTTAATTTCTTCACGACACTCAAAAACCGTTACACTTTCTCCTCGCTAACAAGCACACCCAATGACAGTCGAATTAAGCAGCAACTCGCGTCAAGCCGGAGGAATCGGCCAATCGGGATCGCGGAGAAGAAGCAACAATGCCATTTACATGCCTATTTTCGGAGTGGATTTTCCACCATTTTTAACGCTCGGATCAGAATCGATCCGAATAATAGATTCGCGCGCGCACGCGTATTCGATGTTTCATTCTACTTCTATTTCCGACGTACGGATAAATGCAATTTCCATTTCCAATGCAAATCCATTCCGACCGCAATTTGACGAAGAAAAACCGAGTTCCGCATACGTAGAAACTTTTTTTTTTCTATCCCACGTGCGAAATTTGCTTTAACGCACGTTCCCCTGTGTATATTGTTCTACGCCGATATTTTATATCGAGGTATTCATAGAATACGATAATGGAGGAAAGAGTCGGTCCGAAGAAAATATACCGGCTCTCGCGAACGGAGTTCTCACGAGCGATCTCGGCTCGGATATGAAACAGTTATAATTATTTACTCCGCACGCACGCACGCGAAAAACGCTCGTCGCGCGCGCGCGCGCGCATGCACGCGATAAATTTCGGCCGCGAGCGAGCGCGCGCCTTTTCCGGGAGGCGCGGAAAAGTTGTCGGGCGCGTCCGCATATATATCGGGCCGTCCATAAAAGTTAAGAATTTCTCATCAGCGTTACAGGCGCTTCCATAAAGATAACCGTGATGAATACCGGGGGGCACTTTGTTTCTTATCTGCGTTGCGCCCGCGCTAGGAAGTAACACCTGTAAAATGCGTTCGGAACGCCGCGCTCTCACACACACGCGCGCGCGCGCTCGGAGATACACCGCGAGATAGCCGGTCAGCCAGGGCCAGCGGGGCGCGGGCTGAGCGGGAGGGGGGGGGGAGGGGGACAGGGCGGGTGGTCTATCCGATAACCGGTATTGCTTTTCCGTATCGGAGACAAGAGCGATCGCCGCATCGATTCGCGATCTCGTTAATCGGCTCCGCGTTCCAGTGACGTTCCAGTTACGCGTGTGGGGACAATTCGCAATCGGGGACTGAATATGTAACGGCGGTCTTCCGCGCGACGCTCGCGTCTTCCGACACGGCGAACTGTGTATTCTCTCTAAGTGGGAGCTATTAAATGCAAATCGCACTCCCCTTCGTCGTTCCTTCTCGACATCGGACCGCAAGAGACGCGCTTTTATCTCGCGTCGCACCGTGCGCCGGTTTCGGGGACTACTCAGCGGCAGGGGGAAGGGGGGAGGATAATGACACTTGACGTTTCCCTGAATAAATAATAAAGGATAAATATGAAAGGAGGGAGGAGAGGGTAACCGACCAATAAGGTCGTATAAGGTTGTAACCCACATCTCGCGTATCGGCGCCGCGACGTCGCCGTCGTATCTGATAATGCAAATTGCATTTTTACAATCTCTCCGTTGACGTAATCCGGCGTGCGACCGCGGAAAGAGCTCGTCGCTCCTCGACGCTCGTCAGCCGGAATTTACCTCTTCGGGAGGTATGAGCGCGCGCGCACGAGAGAGGGAGGGAGAAAGAGAGAGAGAGAGAGAGAGAGAGAGAGAGAGAGAGAGAGAGAGAGAGAGCCGCGTGAGACGCGTGTAATCGAGGATTATTTATGGTACGCGGCCGCGGAAATTTCTGTATCGTGCGCGACGCATACAGAAAATCGCCGAGCGTCCCGCGTGCTGCAGCACCGGCGTGTGCTTTACGAGCGTTATTCTTTATATTCCCTTCCAGCACACGAACGCGCCGCCCGCCGCCGCCGCCGGTGTATTATTATTTCAGTCGTCGGACGGAGTTACGATGCGAGCCGGTAAAAATAACGTTTTCGACGTGTATCAATCTCCGCGTATTGTTATTTATGCAGCGGATCTGTGCTTGGGACTTTCTAAACCGCGTGGCTGTACACGGGGAATTATTGTGTGAATTATTATTATTATTGTTATTTCCCGGCCGAGACGCGAAGCATCTCGATGGAAGCAACGGTGCACTCCACACTGTTGCGGGCAGAGATGGAGAACTTAATTAAGCGGAATTAGCCCGACGCCGACATCGAACACCTTTATTCTCGCGCGTTTCCTTCGCGACGCGAAATCATCGTCGCCTCGTTGTTGTCGTCATCGTCGTCGTCGCCGTCACCGTCGTCGTCGCCGTCGTCGTCGTCGTCGTCGTCGTCGTCGTCGTCGTCGTCGTCGTCGTCGTCGTCGTCGTCGTCGTCGTCGTCGTCGTCGTCGTCGTCGTCGTCGTCGTCGTCGTCGTCGTCGTCGTCGTCGTCGTCATCGTCGTCGTCACTCTCGGGTCACCGGGCCCCGAAGTAAAAAGTCGCCCCTCGTTTTCTCCGTCTCTCCCTTTCTCGCGCGCGCGTCTCTCGATTTGCCTCGAGTCAAAAGTTACGGACGGACTGACGGACAGGTGACGCAGACGGATGCCGCTCATTTGTCTCGCTTCGAGTGGAGCGAGCGAGGGCCCGGGGGGGGGATGAGACCGTGGCCGGCCGTAAGGGCGCGGGGCCCAGAGAGAGAGAGAGAGAGAGAGAAAGAGACAAAGAGGAAAAGAGAAAGACAGAGAAGGAGGGAGCGAGAGACAGAGAGAGAGAGAGAGAGAGAGAGAGAGAGAGAGAGAGAGAGAGAGAGAGAGAGAGAGAGAGAGAGAGAGAGAGACGGGAGCGAGATAGGACTAAGGGCGATCGTAAGGGAGAGCCCGCGAGATCGAAGAGGACGGGAAGAGTTTTCGGGCGAAGGGGACTCCCCGTCGCGCTGAGCTTCCCCGCTGGCGGCGGTCAATTTGCTGCTTCTTTTTTTCTTCTCCCGCCAGCTCCTCCTCCCCTCCGCCCTTCTCAAGGTCTTCTTTCTCTCTTTTTCTCTCTCTCTCTCTCTCTCTCTCTCTCCTTTCATTACGCCAAACTTTCGACCACGGGAGTGTGTTCTCTCTGCTGTCTCTCTTTGCTTCTCCCTCCCTTTGTACCTTTCCTCCACCGTTTCTTTATTCCTTGCCAGGTCCGCCGTTCTTTCTCTCTCCTTCTTCGATTCGTCCTTTCTTCCGAGTCTCACCGAGTCGAGATTTCCTATTCTGCCCTTCATCGTGCGTTTTCATCTGCGCGACCAACTTTTCCTTCTTTTTTACCGCTGAGCGGAACGCGCAGCGTAATCGCGCTACGTGCAACGCCGAGCTGGGATTGACGCGGCTCCGCGCTCTCTTTATCTCTGCTTCTCTCTCTTTCTCTCTTTCCCTTCCTCTCTATGGAAACTGATCAGGTCAACTTTTTGGCGAAATTGAGTTGTACGTTCTGCTGATGTAATCTACGATAAAAGTCGATCCTGCCGCATGAAATTAGGTCAAATCTGTTTCCCGTGTGGCGGATGCTGGATGTTGAATTTTTGGACAATAGCCGTCGGGTCTCTCTGCGAGACGGTTCTTTAAATATCCGTTCTCCTTCGCAAACATTATACGCAAGCGTGCAACGCCGGCATTCGTCCAAGGTCATTCTTATTTCCGACGGGTTATCAAAATCTGACGGATCGCGTTGACGCAACGCCCGTTTCTTCAAATTCGATCAAGGTGGATGAAATGGGCCGACGTCATTTCTTCTTTTCTCTCTCTCTCTCTCTCTCTCTCTCGTTCTCGCTTCTAAATCTAGAACCCGAGAGGTACTCTCTCGCGTGAAAATTCCGGAAGAGGCCGTATCAATCAGAGACACATGTCACGCTCACGAAATCGAGAGAGAGAGAGAGTTTGTCTATTGGAGATATTAACGTGATTATCTAACGTTATCGATTATCAAAGGCAAAGTAAATTTCGTTTGTCCGATATAACGCAAGCGTATTGCAATTATTACGATTATTATAATTAGTTATCTCTTTGATCGCAGCGGAGAGCGTATCGCGCATAAAGCGCGCGCACTGAAATCCGCATAAAGCCGACCGCCGCTCATCGTCGCGTTGCTTTTGCCGCGCGCAATGCTGCATGCAACGCGGCAATGCAACGGCGCCGTCGTGGCTGGGAAATATGCCTTTTCTATGTGTACGCCTCTTTCCCTTCTTCTCTCTTTCTCTCTCTCTCTCTCTCTTTCTCCTCCCTTTTCAGTTTCGTGAGTCTGTACATTCGTAATTACGGAATTTCCGCCGACTCGCTCGTACGCATCGATCGCGTTCCCCGCGCCTGTTTTCTTTTTCTTTCTCTCTCTCCTCTCTCTCTCTCTCTCTCTTTCTCTCTTCTCCCCGTCAGTTCGTTTTCAACGTACAAGTATCGCGATAAAAAAGTAGACGCCTTGTGCGAGAATGTCGAGACTGAGAAGAGCTCGCCGATTAAGACTTCAATTAGCTCATGGAGATTGTGTCTCCAACTTGTGTTTCTTCTAGTTTGCACTCTCCTTCGCCGTGAAATTGAAATTAACTCGAAAACGGAATTTTCTCGTGTAAGTTTCCCCGCCCTTGGGCATTAATACGCCGAAGCTGTCATTTAATCCTCAACGTCGAACGATCCGCAACAGC